ACAAACCGGCGTGTTGAAGAGTGAATCCACAACATTTACAATTTTAGTACGACGTTTCGCTGTAATGACCCAACAACATTTATTATGAATACATTACACTGTATTGAGGGAGCGTTTGCGCACTGTTATCGCATACTGAGCTATTAACCCAACCCACAAATGTTGGATTCCCGATTGCGCCGTCTAAGAGCGGAAAGTGATATGTGAACCAGTCCCACAGCATCACGGGAGGGAGTGGAGGGGGCTGGAGTGGGCTGACCCCACTCCACTCCGTCTAAAATCTTCTGTACCAATGCTGCTGAAGCTGTCTGCACTAACCGGAGGCTGCGTGGCCAATGGGCTGTGTAACACAAATTCTGCATATCTAGGTACAGACATAGGAAGGTGGCGAACAGCCTGCTTCATTACTGCTCCTGATATCGCCCACAACGACGCGAATGCTTCATTTGATCGAAGTTCTTACAGCCAAATAACAACCAAAAATGTCGCTGCAATATATTTGACGGGCACCGGTGGCAGTTTTACAATCAACCTTTTCTCTCTCTCTCTCGCACAAACACACAGAGACTGGGGGCGATAGCTCTAGCGGGACGCACGACAGACAGAAGCTGATATCTCCGTTCCTCATTCCGTTGAGTAACAATTGCCTAAAGTTTGATTAACGTTGACTCTGTCGTACCACCGCCCACCTGCCCTCCTGTGTGTTTGCATGCCCCCCCCCCTTTAAACACGGTCACGCTACAGGTCTGATATGCACAGTTCCTGGATGCCCTTCCCACCACCTTCACCAACCTCGCAGGGTGGTGAAGTATGGTGAAACAAACCCCCACGAACGACCCGATGTTTCTCGAGGCCGTCATCCACTGACGAAGGACTGCGGTGATTGTACTCTGTATGGCGGTTGCGCTTGCGACTCGGACCAATGTTGCACCCTGCAGTAAATGACGCGGTGGACTAAAGGTTAGCGCCGTTCTGCCGGGATTAAATCGCAGGCACCGAGACAGAAAATAAGTACTTTGTACGTGGTGTTCACTTTGTTAGAGGATAGAACGCGGTGTCGGGTTAATTCGCTTTTAACAAGAAATCTACTTTGCGAAAACAAACTTTTTTTTTTTTTGCACCGATGTCTGGACTGTATCAGCAATGTCAGCATGAGAACCTATAACAATGAATATTTCACTTTTTTGTCAGCTACATCAAGAGATGGGCCAAGGTGAGGGTCGTGGATGAGCGGCATGATTTTCTCTTTGCACGCATTTATCAAGGCTGAATATTCATCGTTACTTGTTTTAAATAATAATCGTGCCAAGCATAACTTTATCCAAGATGAAAACTCATGAGACCAGGACAGTCTCATTTTCAAGGGTATAAGACGTGTGTCTGTATAAATGTGGAACTTTTTTGCACCGTACGTAGCCAACCGTACCAATTGAAGGTGCGTGGTGAAGGCCAACAACCAGTCACGACAAAGCGATTCAAAAGAAAGTGTGGGATGGAAGCGCTGGTGCCCTGGTTATCGTGACGCAAGAGACCCGACAAGCCAAGTTCAATTCACAGCCACGGCGAACAACAGCGACGAGTGTAATCACAACCGGCTCCTACCCTTCAGCAACCTTCAAACTAAAACTAAACTTTCTTCTTGGTTCTTTCGGTAAAGTCACGTAGAATGGAAATAATAAAATAAATAAAATAAAACATAATAAAATATTATTTCCATTCTACGTGACTTTACCAAAAGAACCAAGAAGATGAATCCCTGCAGTCACGAAAGCTTTAAATCGAAAAATAAAACTACACTTTTTTTTTGTTTTACCAGGTAAGACATACTGAGCCATATATATATATTTCTTTTTGAGAAGCGACCTGGCCACAAATGATAGCTCAACGAAGTGGATTATCACGTGGAAATGTACAGCGACCAAATACTCGAAACGCGTGTTTCTAAATGTGGAGGGGGAAATCGGAGGACCCGGAGAAAAATCCACGTAAGCCCCGAATATCCAACAGGCGTCAGGGTCGGGATCGAACGCACGACCTCCTGCATACCAGGCGAAGTAGTTAACATCTCACCACCATTTATAGATTGAGATTGTCTGGAGTTTTTTTTATGTTTAATTTTTTTAATGCTACAGCGAGTTCTTTAATAATCCACAACAACCACGTGCAGTGCTGCGATACCAACGGGCAACATTTTTCGCTGCGGGCAGCTTGCGCAAAGCTTGTTCATCTGGCAAGACGACACAGGGACCTCGAATAAGAACAAGTGACAAGTGACAAGTGACGCGAGGCAGCGCATCGCTTCCGATGCTATCAAACCTACGTATGGACACGAGAGAACATATGTCCCACCGTGGCACGTGCCTGTCTGCACATGCTGGTATGATTTTTTTCTGTGTCCTTCCCCAAACCGTTAAATGTATGTGTGTATGTATGCTGAACTTCTTACGCACCACACGCAGCCAACCGTGCGACTCGTAACCGTAGATATGTCAGAATCAGAATTGTGATTTATACCGGAGGAATCGGATGAACTATGAAGATTTCTGTCACAGATGTCCAGTAGTTTCACAGATGTCCATATGTAATGGGTAGAGCGGTGGCGCAGTGGTTAGCACACCACGCGACCGACTCAGCCACCCGAGTTTGATCCCAGTCCACGGCTCACGTCTAACATCAGTAGGGAATGAAATCTGCACCGTGATTGGATTTCCTCTCCGACCTCCACACGTAATAAGATGTTTCGTGTAATTGTGTTTTTTTGTTTGTCATGCACAAGGATAAACTCTACCAATAAATTACACATTTGTGTAATTAGAAAGATTTTTTTAAGGGTTCATAAAATACATTACTCAGAACAAACCGCTAACATTGTTCCAATTGTATAATTGTAGGCTTCGTCTTAATTGTTTTAACTCATTATAAACCATGCTCAACAGTCACGGCTACAGTGACCCCCCCCCCCCCCCACACACACAACCATTGCAGTGTACGCGACAACGTTCTTTTTAGAGTCAGCGAAAACGCAAATAACACATTTGTAAATGAATTGCTCATTCCTTAGACCTAACCCTTTATCCGCTTTCTTACAATATATCGTTCCCAGCCTCCAAACAGAATATCCCATCTCTGTCGCCACGGACCGACAACGCAGATCAATAGGAGGCCAGCTGATCCATTAATTTACATTCAACGGTCCCCTGATTGAGATGCATTTTCGCAGGTATTCAATGCACCTGACACTAATAGCCGATTTAAACTTTTGGTTTAACCAGGGAAGGCCCCACTGAGCCATATATCTCCTTTTCAGAAGCGACCTGGCCACAATTGATAGCTCAACAAAGTGGCTTATCATGTGGAAATGTATAGCAGCCAAATACCCTAAACGCGTGTTTCTAAATGTACAGGGAAAACCGGAGGACTCGGAGAACAATCCACGGGACCACGGGGAGAGAGAGACACACAAACTACAAATAAACAGCAGTCGTCAGGGTCGGGATCGAACCCACGACCTCCTGTAGACCTGGCAAGGTAGTTGACATCTCCTAGCCACCGGGTCGTGTGATGGAAACGTCACAGGCGCCACGCCCGTGACGTTTCCATCACACGAACCGTGCCGCGCTGGCTGAAGACGATGAGCGGATATAGCTGGGCAAGTCTCTAAAAAAACAAAAAATACGCACACTCGCAAGAATGTCATCTTACCATTCATTTGTATTAGATTGAAAAATAAAATCGATTTTTCTTTTTTTGCCACAAGTTAATTTAAAATGATATAAACGCAATAGTGAATTCGGTCGTTTGGTGGAGTTCGCCTTGCTTTGCTTTTTTGTTCGTGTACATTTTGAGCAAATAAAGTAAGATCTCCAATCCAGCAATGCGCGCCATTATTAATACCCTCTGAAATTCGGCAAGCGGCATCTGACAGTTTGTCAATTATGAACACACCGCCTTTACGCGCGCGCACACACTCACCGTTATTTATATCCACCGCGATGCGTTACACAATCGTGTTATGAAGACCGAGACCACAAACATTGCTCCATCCTCCCCCCCGCACCCCCCCCCCACGTCCCCCCACCACTCTCCTAATGAAACTCGACGTTGCGTGCATCGCGAGTGCAGAATGCGGTCTTCCCCGCGCAACTGCCTCCTTCTCGGCGGCTCCCATCAACGGCGACACTTTACTGACGAATACAAATGAGGATGAAACAGGGAACGCAGTTGTCCCCGGCGGGACTGCTGCTGCTGCTGCTCGAAGCCCACACTTACAGCTCTCGTGAGCTCCGTGGTCTTTACAGGGTTGTACGTATGTATTCTATGCGTGGTGAACTTCTTTCGCACCGTACGTAGGTAACCGTGATAATCGGAAGTGCGGGGGACAACAAACTAAAACACAAACATCGGTTCGAAAGAAGTGAGTTTTCAATCTGGATGAGTTAAAAGTGGACACCTCCCAATGGTTTCCTAACATAGGACGGACTAACGTTCTAAACGGCTGCAGAAGCGCATCTGAGAGTGCACGATGTAGTGACCGTCTTTGTTCGAGGGGCAGCCAAACGTTTTGTGTGGAACACGCACGGATTTGGTGCCATTGAGGTGGCCGGGTGGTTTAATCGGGGGGCCGGACAGCACAGAGCTCGCACCGCTGAGATCTTGATGTTCGAATCCAGGTAGCCACCCGTAATTAAACTGCATTCTCAAGTGTGGCGAATTGACGATCTCAATCCCATGAAAACGATTTTTGCCGCTTAATGTGGCTAGAAATGTAATTTGATCAATTATCTCAGAGTGCGTGTGTAGGGGGGCGATGGGATGCAACCCACACTGTGTGTGTGTGCGAACACCCAAAAAAGGCCACTTTGAAGATGTTTTTGTTTGAGACAAGTCCCGTGATAGATCTAATCTGCACCCACCCTCGAACACAAGGCAAGCGCACTGCTCCGTGACATCTCTCAGTTGCTTCGTAGTCACCACAATCATCATCATCATCATCAACTCACGATCATCGTCATCGCCGTCCTCTTTCCAGAGCGTTGGCGGCTTGTCGCTCCCCGTCTCCACTTCTCTCCGCCTGTCGCGCTGCATTGATGACAGGAACACAATGGGGGTACAATTTGACTTGAAAAATAAAAAGAATGGCGCTGTCAAAATTGACATGCAAAGTATGGAAAGACGTTCTGTGCCTCTCTTATGGTTTCACCATCATCATCATCATGACTACAAACGCCACTTTTGGATACAGAAGTGTTTCGTTTCCTGCTGGTGCACATATTTCCTGACAGGATCTCAGGACCGTCTCTTATTGGCAGCAACAAAAAAGAGCTCGATTCCGTGTTTGATTTTTGGGTCAGGCCGCATAATAGCCTGTGCCAGGTTTCTGTCGTAAGACCTCTCCATCACGCAACATAGCCAAACAAATTCAATAATCACACCAATTAATCGAAACACATTTTTTTAGGCAAATTGCATTCGTATCTGATTGCTCCATATGGTCGCCAGAATTGATCTTCCGCTCAGAGGCGAACGTTTTCAAGATTAAACTTCGCCGGAGCTTTTCCAACAAAAGCAACGCCTTTGAAAGTAACGCCAGCGGGCACTAGAACTCGTTCTGGATAGGTGCCGTTCACACAAAAAGTTGCGATGTAACGTCAGTGCAATTGAGAGAAAAAAATTAATTTCTATTTTTACTTTAATTGTAATTTTTTTTTTACCTCCCTCCGGCTGCAGGAAAAAAAAACTGCACACGCAAGCGGACGCAATTTGCGAGCAAGCAGCATTATCGACGATCAGCTGCCAATACCGATCTGCGGCTTGCCGAGCGCTCACATTTGGCGAGGGCCAAACTTCTATTTTCCGCCCATGAGCCACCCACCCGCAGGACTCGATCTGACGCGCGTTACATCCACTCCGGAACATCTCGGTCGCACTTTCGCAGGGCTAGCTCGTGCTTTACGGGACTCTCTTACCCTATATTGTACTCTCCCGTCCGCCCATCTCCTCTCCTTGTCTCTCTCTCTCTCTCTCAGTCTCGTTATCCATTCTCCCCTTTCTGTTTGTCACGATATCTCCTAGATCATAGCTGAGGCCCCTGGTAAAGCGACGCGGCCTAGCGGGTAACGCGTTGGCCGCTTGCCGCAAAGAATTCACGGTTCAAATTCTAACGGCTGCCCAGGTTAATAATGCGGTATTTAATGTATTTATGTATGTGGAATGTCGTCCACATTGTATATAGCCAACCGTGCTGATCGGAGACGCAGAGGAAGGATAACAAACTAAACACGAAATGCAGTTATAAAGAAATTAGTTTTCAATTTAGATTTGAAAGTGCATAGCACCAGTGGCTTCCTAATATCGGAAGAGCGTTCCAGACGGCCACAGAAGCGCGATGCCGTGACCGTCTTTGTTTGATGGTTGTCTAAAAGCCGCTGCTGAGAGGATGTCCGGAGTTCGCGTGATGACCTGATCAGCAAGGTATTGTGCTTCATTTGTGGCAATGACCTCGATCTGAGCTTCAGAGCGGACGTGAAATATTTCTGCGTCGCAAGAGCAGGCCACTATATGCTGGCAGCATGGTCCAAACACACGCAGTAAGAATTATCGCCCTCCCTACTGACAGTCTAACGCCCCAGGTCGCTCTTGCAAATAGGGACTCATCCTGGTACAGTATCTTCAAGTTCTCACCCTGGCGGAACGAAATGCACTTGAAACTCGATCGCTATGCATGGGCATTATGCCGCTCTGTTGTGGTCGTTGTTGTTCCAGACGTCGTTCATCGTTGTTAAACATTTCATTTTAAACTTTCGTTTTCCATGCGCGCAACGTAAACAAAGGACAAAGCGTTCCCCGTATAACCTGAACAGACTGCAGGGGCAAGTACTGTTAGCGAGCACCTATGAAGGCCGGCACGGCACAAGAGGGAGTTGGTGGCCAGCACCACGCCCGACCGCCTTTGTCTCCCCAGTGGCGATGTTTACACACCGCACCAGGTTCTCATTTGAGGCTGAGTCGACCTAGGGGAGGCCCAGGACCGGTTCAGATAATCGTCACCGGTGTTGGCCGTGAGCGGAAATCGAACCCGTGTCGCCGGGTTCATAGCGCAGCGCGCTAACCGCTACACCACCGCTCCCCGTAACCGCTACACACGCGCGCGCGCGCACAGACACACTCACGCATCCTTAAACAAGCCGCGGGCTCCCATCTCTGCGGGGCCGCGGCATCACTCCGGAACCTTGAACGGCACCCGAGGGCGCGCACGGCGGCACGCGCTAAGCGGGGCATTGCGAGGCACGAGCGGGGGGTGGGTGGAGAGACGCCAGCGAGCGAGCGAGCGAGCGTTGGGGGGGGGGCACGGGCGCTTGCCACCTGCTCGCCGTACGGACGATGGCCCATTAGACCGCAATAAGCGCAACAAATAAGACAATTGGAGCAGACAGCACTCGTGTCGCGAGACGCCGATCCGCCCCGGGGGCCCCGCGCGTAATATACAAAAAAAAGAAGAAAAAGAAGAAGCGCGTGGATCGCTCCGCGCATGATGTCGTGCCCACGAGAAACAAACGACCGTCATTTGTGCGGGCGCGGGGGGGGGGGGAATACAAGACAGGGACGACGCGGAGAAAACAACAGCGCGCGCACGTATGTACACGCGCGCGCCCTGTGCACGCGCGCGCCCGTGCATTGCGCGCGCCGTGTGCACGCGCGCGCCGTGTGCACGCGCGCGCGCCCGTGCATTGCGCGCGCCGTGTGCACGCGCGCGCGCCCGTGCATTGCGCGCGCACGTGCGGGCAAATTCCGCTTGTCGCGTGCGCAGCTCGAATAAACGCGGCCCTCTTCCCCCCCCCCCACGCTCTTTGTCTGCCGCTGGGAAATGTATTCCTAGCCGTCGAGGTTTTTACGGCCCGACAGTCAGGATAAGCTCATAACTCAGACGGACAAACAGCTGCGCGCCGCCGTCTTTGCAGCAGCAGCAGCTCGTTTGGAGCTGCGTGGTGATGCGGGCAGGGCCGTGACGAGGAGGGGGCGTGCGGGCAGGAACCCCGCTTACTTCGTGCGGCACGGAGAGGGGTGGCGGCGCTGCGGCGTGGAGCGCGGCGCGGTGTGGAGGGTGGAGAGGGGTGAGTGTGGAGTGCGGTGTGGAGGGTGGAGAGGGGTGAGCATGGAGTGCGGTGTGGAGAGGGGTGAGCGTGGAGCGCGGTGTGGGGTGGAGAGGGGTGAGCGTGGAGCGCGGTGTAGAGAGGGGTGAGCGTGGAGCGCGGTGTGGGGTGGAGAGGGGTGAGTGTGGAGTGCTGTGGAGAGGGGTGAGCGTGGAACGTGGAGCGGTGTGGAGAGGGGTGAGCGTGGAACGTGGAGCGGTGTGGAGAGGGGTGAGCGTGGAACGTGGAGCGGGGTGGAGAGGGGCGAGCGTGGAGCGCGGTGTGGGGTGGAGAGGGGTGAGTGTGGAGTGCTGTGGAGAGGGGTGAGCGTGGAACGTGGAGCGGTGTGGAGAGGGGTGAGCGTGGAACGTGGAGCGGGGTGGAGAGGGGCGAGCGCGGTGCGGTGTGGAGAGGGGTGAGAATATTTTTTTAGACTGGAGGGAAAATCCGATGAGCGATGAAGCTCTTTTTCACAAAATCTCCAGTAGGGGCGAGCCTGAAGTGTAGAGTGGGGAGGGGGGGCGGTGTCGAGTGAGGGGCGGTGCAGAGTGGGGGGCGGTGCAGAGTGGGGGGCTGTGTAGAGTGGGGGGCGGTGTAGAGTGGCGGCGGTGTAGAGTGGGGGCGGTGTAGAGTGGAGGGCGGTGTAGAGTGGGGGGCGGTGTAGAGTGGAGGGCGGTGTAGAGTGGGGGGCGGTGTAGAGTGTGGGGCGGTGTAGAGTGGGGGGCGGTGTAGAGTGGGGCGGTGTAGAGTGGGGGGCGGTGTAGAGTGGGGCGGTGTAGAGTGGGGGGCGGTGTGTAGAGTGGGGGCGGTGTTAGAGTGGGGGGCGGTGTAGAGTGGAGGCGGTGTAGAGTGGGGGGCGGTGTAGAGTGGGGGCGGGCTGGGGGTGTAGCGTGGAGGGCCTGTGTAGAGGGGGGTGCGGTGTGAGTGGGGGCGGTTGTGTAGAGTGGGGGGCGGTTGTAGCGTGGGGGCGGTTTGTAGAATTGGGGGCTGGTTGGTAGAGTGGGGGGCGGTGTAGAGTGGGGGCGGTTGTAGAGTGGGGGGCGGTGTAGAGTGGGGCGGTGTAGAGTGGGGTGCGGTGTAGAGTGGGGTGCGGTGTAGAGTGGGGTGCGGTGTAGAGTGGGGGGCGGTGTAGAGTGGGGGGCGGTGTAAAGTGGGGGGCGGTGTAGAGTGGGGGGCGGTGCAGAGTGGGGGGCGGTGCAGAGTGGGGTAGGGTTGGATCCGGAGTGCCTTGGTGTGGTACTGAATTACACGGAGGGAGATGAACTGGAAGGTGGACACCGAATGACATTCAAATCCACCCCCGGTGTGAGATGTCAGCCGTGACAGATGGCGATGGCTGTGGGTGGCATTCATCCAGCAGTGGAATGGTCATGGTTTACGACGATAAACAAGTGCCTTGTCTTCCTCGTCTGCATTCCTACACCGATACATCCACGTATTCGCACGCGCTTTGATTATGTTCAAGCGAAAGTGTGTATCGTGTACTCTTTTAGATTGTTTTTTCTTTTTCAATTTCAAAGTTGTGATTCGGCAAAGTCTGTCTCCCACGTGGGGGGCGGTGTAGAGGGACAAGACCACGTGATGTTGTCTCGCCACGACTCCGCGTTGTCTTTACAAACCACGCACGGACAATCCGCCCCCTTAAATGTGTGTTTGTACAAACATCGTCAAGCTATTTCCGAGCCATTACGTTCAACAGTTTTCTAAATGCAAATTACGCGCGAATTGATTATTATATTATGATTGTTTAATACGAACGATAACAGATGGCACTCTCCTTTGCTCGAGTTATATTCCCACACTGGCAATTGTGCGCGCGCACGATCACTCATGTGTGCAGCAAATATTTTGTTTGTTCAAATAATCCCCCCACCACCACCCTACCTCATTCCCCTACTCATCTTTGGCAGGAGGTACACTCTGGGTGATGTGTACGGAGCGGCCGTACGTGGAACCTCTTTCGCGTCTTGCCAATGATGCTACTCGGAGGTGCGGGGGAAAGACAACAAACTACACAAAGACAAAGATCCCCCGTGTAGCCTGAACAGAATGTAGGGGCAGGTGCGAGCACCTATGAAGGCCGGCACGGCACACGAGGGGGTCGGTGGCCAGCACCACGCCCGGCAGCCTTTGTCTCCCTAGTGGCGATGTTTACACATCGCACCGGATACTCATTTGAGGCTGAGTCGACCTAGGGGAGGCCCAGGACCGGTTCAGATAATAGTCTCCGGTGTTGGTCGTGAGCGGGAATCGAACCCGGGTCGCCGGGTTCATAGCGCAGCGTAGCGCTAACCGCGGCACTACCGCTCCGCACACACACACACACAAAACGTATCTATCATTATATATGTTCTGCCGCAACTTTTGTTTAATATTCCACATTGATCCTCGCTTCGGCTGTAATTACACAGAAGCTGCACGCACACGCGCACCCACCGATGATTATAAAGCAATCACAGACGAGTTAATCGACCCCCCCGGAGGGAAGAGATGTCCCAACTTCGACTCCAGAGAGAGAGAGCGAGCGAGCGAGAGAGAGCTCAGCTTGCTAACAGGTCGTAGGCTTTCGCGACCAATTTCATCCATAATACAGGGTGTTTTTGGGTTAGATCGCGTGTCGTTGAACCCGCCACCACCCGACACGGCCAATTGGTAAGGTTTGTCACTTAAACAGAACGTGCCAATTCGTTACTCGTGTAGAAGAGTTGTCGACGACTCAGAGACGGAGGAAAGGGTTAAGGGCTTTCGCCGTAGGTTTATTTGATATCTTTCGAGGGGAACAACTCCCCAGGGGTTAGGGGTCCCGGGCTAGGTCCCGACTGGGTCCCGACACAGCCGGCTGCCCGTGCTGTCTCCTCTGCGCCGGCCGTGGGGTCATCCAACACGGCCGACCGAGGAGCACGACCACGTCCAGCCCTGGCGATGTGCTATATCCACTATACCTACCCTCTTGCCCCTGGCTCCCCGTCCCACCCTCTTCTGACCCTCGACTCCAGCTACGACCCCGCTTAGGTCACGGGGTCCCCCCTTTATACTCGAGGAGCCGTGTCGTCATGTGCGCCGTCCAGAGCGCATGACCCCACGTCCCGTGACGCCATCGCACCGGTCAGCGCACACGACGCCACTGCCCTCTTGTACTCATCTACACTAGTGCAGCACACCGGTTGTCTGTTGGAGAGCAAATCCACAACATTTACCATCTTCTGAGTGCAATCTGAGAAAGATTGTAAACGTTTCGATTTAAAGTTTTCGTGACTTGCAGGGATTCATCTTCGACAGACCTGGTCTTCACCTGAGGACGGCTGCTTGCGTTGTGGCCGAAACGTCGTGAGAATTATTTTATTATGTTTTATTTTTATTATTTTTATTATTTCCATTCTACGTGACTTTACCGAAAGAACCAAGAAGATAGTAAACGTTGAGAATTTTCTCTCCAGCACACCGGTGTGCTGTACTAGTAACGTATTGGCAAGTTCTGTTTACGTGACAATCCTTACTAGTTGGCTGTGTCGGGTGGTGGCGGGTTTCACGACACATTCATATTTACACGATCTAACCTAAAAAAAAAACTCTATTATGAGCTCAGATTTTGTTAGGCGAGTAGGAGGAGGAGGGGGGGGGGGGGCGTTATACCCTCTCAACAAGACAAGTTTGTCCAGCATTGTATTGTACCTTGGCAGAGTGTAGAGAAAGAGAGAGTGGGCGGGGGGGGGGGAGATAACAAAAAAGAGAGGAAAAACTACTTTCAGATAAGACATCGAGTGTTAATAGAACTCACGAGATAAGGGCGAGTGTTGCCGATTTCGATTTTCAATTGCGATGCGCCGTAAAAAAAAAGTTTTACTCGGGGGGGGTTGGGGGGGGAGAGTTGGGGATTTTTCTCCTCACTTTTTTCACAGCCCAAAATACACGTAACGATTTCGCCGACTCGCATTGCCTCGAGTAGTAATAGGAGTTAGTAACAGGAGTTAG